TGTGAGCAAGCAGGTGGGTGCAGAAAAGGCTTCAAGCCTTGCTGGGGGTTCAAACCTTGGAGCAGGTCTGGGAAGGTGGGGTGGACAAGGTCACCAACACACTCCACACCTCTGTTCTTCTTCCATCAACATGAAAGTGTCAAGGAAAAACTCACAGGAAAGCGTATTTGGCAAAACTTTAGTACCTGAATAAAGGAAGAGGCTGTGACTGCCTGGTTTTTAAATGGCAGAGGTTTTGGGTCATTCACAGCCCTGGTGCAGGGACAGGTCACCCAGCCACAGACCAGCAGTGTCCCTGTGCTCTCGATTTAATGGGTGGTTTGGCTCCAGGATCCCTCAAACATGCAGGGAAATAACCATGATTAGGGAAACTCCTCAGTCTTGACACAAAAAATAATTCTTAGGGGTATGGAGAAGATGCTTTTATAGTCCTCTGACCCACCCAGCTGCTCAGTGTGAGCCTTATCCATTCTTCTAGACCCACCTGGAGCCTCCCAAATACCAAGCAGCAAAGGGGTGAACTTCAGCAATGTGTTCATCAACCACAAGTTTTCCCTCAGAAGGGTTTGGTAACCCATGGGAATCCATTTCTGCTGACAACAAACCTTTTATTTTTCTGCAGACTTCACGTGCACTGCAGAGGAATTTTGCCTCCAGGAGCAAGAGCTCAGATACTTGATAAATGCTTGAGAGCTCTGACCACCTCTCCTGAGTTATAATTTTATTTTAAAAAGATTTATTCTAGTTCTGGACAACTCAAATTCACTGAGCTCACCAATGCAGTACTTTGTGTCTCTCCTATTGGGTGTACCCAATGACAGTGTCACAGCCTTTAATAACAGGATTTAATTAATCCTGGAATTGAGAATGTGCTATTATGTTAATTTTTCAAAGAAAGGCCACAGCAGTAAAGAAAAATCTACATTGCAGAGTCACCCCAGAAGTCTGTGCTAGACCAGGAAATTAATCTGTTAATCATTCTGCCAAGGTGAGAGACCTACCTGAGCTTCTTGGACTGATGAGACTGTTCCCATTATCTGGGATGGTCTTCCACCTGCAAAACAGAAGGAGCAGCTTTGCAATCTGCTGAAAGGCTTTGGAGATGGCTGCTGAAAAGCTCTGTGGAAGGGACTAAGAACCCACCTTCCCTGTTTGCCATGTTTTCATGTCTAGGATCCTTCCTTTTCTTGAGGTCTCTCATTGATCAGCTTTTCCATGTTCATGCTTCCACCCAATAAAACCACTAAAGTCCTGGTCTTGGTCAAGAGGGAGTCACTGAAAAGTGGAGGTAGGGAGGAAGGAGAAGGTAGAGGAAATGGTTATGGAAGTTGGAGAAGAAAGGGGTGGAAAAGCTGGAGGAAAGGTGGTAGAAACTGAAAAGCTGAAGGAGAAAAACATCTGCATTCCAAAGAGACAACAGCTGCCACCAAAATCATAACCAACTTCTCTTTTTTTGCAATCTAATGATAAATTAAGTCCTGCACAATTAATTCTGTCCAAGTAAAGGTCTCACAATCTACCTTTGGGACCCCAGTATCCCATCACTTGCTATTTAACAAGGAAAACAAAAATACATCACCAAGTCCTTTTTGTCTAAACACATCAAAAGATTTTGAAAATCTTTGCAGTTTGAAAGGCACTTTAATAAAAGTTGGCTGAAGTTCTACAAAATGTCCTGGTGTAGCTGTTAAAGAAAGCCTCATTCATATCATGATAAAACATGCAGAGAACAGAATATTCTTGGACTAAAACGTCAAATCCTTGTGTTTGGAGCTGTCATTTTGTCAAAAAATGAAAGAATTGGGGAAAAATAACATTTAAAATCCTATGTTGTCTGTATTTTCCAATTTAAATACTTGGAGTGGAGCGGGGCCAGTTACAAACAGAGCCAGCTACAAACACAGTGACAAACTGGTTTTCAGGGTGACTTCAGTGTAAATTCTGTTGTAGGGAGTTAGACAGGACTTGTCTTCTGAAAGGGTGGATGGCTGCTGGTTTCCTCCAAGGATTTGATAACATGTTCTGTATCCTCTCCTGGTAGGCTCTCTCTTCTTCACGAGCTGATTCATACTCTCGTTGCTTCTCCTCTTCCTCAGCATCACGTGCCTGTTCTCGATGGGCAATCTGAGCCCTGAGGTGCTCCTGGTATTCTTTGGCTTCCTTTAGTTTCCTGGGAATGAGGAAAAAAAAAAAACCAAACAGCCTATTTATGAAGCATGGGTTTAAAAACCCCACAAAACCAAAACCATTTTTTTTAGTCCTTATTGAATCTGTGAGCGTTCAACCTTCAAGAACCACTCAAAACTCCTCTCAGGGCTTCAGAACAACCATCACCTCCCACTGACCAAGAGCTGCATGATGTTCCTCAGGGAATTAATTGCACTCTGTTGAAACTTGCACAGCAGATTGTACAAATACTGACAGTGTGAGGACAAGGAATGAGTGTCAGGTCTTGGTCCTTTCCCAGCTCAGCCTGAGCCCCATCTCCACTCCCTCACTCTGAAGATCATAAGCTGCTGGCAGCTGCAGCTCTGGATTGATATCCCAGGAAAAGGCTGTCAGGAGAAATCATTCTTCTCTTCCATCTTGAGACTCATCTATCACACTTACTGCCCCGTGGAGAAGCAGTGAAGACTACCTGTGTGTTCTGGCCATCTGGAGCAGGAGTCAGACTCACACAGATGCTGAAGATGCCACCAGGCTAGTCAAGACTTGTGTGTTAATACAGCCCAGCTGAACCATCAACACTGACACTGCTGAATGCATCTCTGCTAAGCAGAGCACACCCCAAATCCCAGACTGGTTTGGGTTAGAAGGGACCTTATGGGCAGGGACACCTCCCACCAGCCCAGGTTGCTCCAAGCCCCATCCAACCTGCCCTTCAACACTGCCAGGGATGGGGCAGCCACAGCTTCCCTGGGCAACCTGGGCCAGGGTCTCACCACCCTCACACCAAAGAATTTTCTCCTCTTGTCTCACCTCAATCTCCCCTCTTCCAGTTTTAATCCATCCCCCTCATCCCATCCCTCCCTGCCCTTGTCCCAAGTCCCTCCCCAGCTTTGCTGGAGACCCTTCAGGCACTGGAAGCTGCTCTAAGGTCTCCCTGGAGCCTTCTCTTCTCCAGGCTGAACACCCCAACTCCCCCAGCCTGGCTCCAGAGCAGAGCTGCTCCAGCCCTCCCAGCATCTCCGGGGCCTCCTCTGGACTCTCTCCAGCAGCTCCATGTCCTTCCTGTGCTGGGGACCCCAGCCCTGGCCCCAGCCCTGCAGGGGGGTCTCAGCAGAGCAGAGCAGAGGGGACAATCCCCTCCCTGGCCCTGCTGGCCACGCTGCTGGGGATGCAGCCCAGGACACGGGTGGGTTCTGGGCTCCAGGGCTCATGGGGAGCTTCTCAGCACCCAGCATCCCCAGGGCCTGCTCCTCAGGGCTGCTCCCAGCCCATTCTCCACCCAGCCTGTACTTGTGCTGGGTGTACTTGAGATTGGGCAAGGAAAGGTAGGGTATGAAACTCAGCATGTTTCCTTCAGAAGGGTGAGATCCCTGCCACAGCCAGGAGATTGTCACCACTAAAGCCCTTAGAGAACACAAGAAGTACTAGGCCTGTTACCTCCAGGGACAGGTGTGGGAAAGGGCAGGGGCTCCAGAGAGAAACGGACTCAGCAACATCAGGCTCTTTGCCCTGGGCTTTGTATGACACCCAGAGGAACTTCTCAGCTACTGCGTGTGACTCATCTTGAGCAGCTGGGGTGGCAGCACTGTCTGGAATTTTGGTGACTGACAATAGGATTGTTTCAGGGCTGTGTGTGGGTGGAGTTTAGCAAGAACACTAGTTGCCCTGTGTAAGTAAAAGAATAACCTTTCATTAACCCTTCTCCCACTCCTAATAACAGCTATGACTATGAGGGGATGTCTTTAATAAACATGATCCATGTAAGTCACATGATGGTCCAAAAAGACCAAAACAAGGATATGGAACTAAACACCATTATTTGTACCACGGGATCAGAGTTAGGGATTTAACACCAGTTGCAACCTAACAGGGCTGCTGTTGAGCAGTTTCAAGCCTCTCTGAACAGAAGAAGGGCCACCCAGAGCTCTCAAGAGTCATCTGAAAATTAGGATTAGGCTGTTCACAAGTTTAAATTATTGTTCTGCAATGAAACAATTGCAGACTGGGGAGCTGAGCAAAGAGGAACCTCATGAGGTTCAACAATAGTAAGTGTAGAGTCCTGCACTTGGAAAGAAGAACCACCAGGCACCAGTATAGATTTGGGGTTGGCCTGCTAGAAAGCAGCCCCATGGAGAGAAGGACCCTGGGGTCCCGCTGGACAACAGGTTACCCATGGTATAGCAATGTGCCCTTGTGGCCAAGAGAGCCAGTAGTATCCTGGGGTGCTCTAAGAACAGTGTGGCCAGCAGGTCAAGGTTCTCCTCCCCCTCTGCTCTGCCCTGGTGAGGCCACATCTGGAGGACTGTGTCCAGTTCTGGGCTCCCCAGTTCCAGAGGGACAGGGATTTGCTGGGAAGAGTCCAAGGGAGGCTACAAGGATGATGAAGGGACTGGAACATCTGTCTGATGAGGAGAGGCTGAGAGACCTGGGGCTGTTTAGTGAGGAGAAGAGAAGGCTGAGAGGGGACCTGATGAATGTCTCTCAATACCTGCAGGGTGGGTGTCAGGAATGGGCCAGTCTCTGTTCAGTGGTGCCTGGGACAGGACGAGGGGAAACGGCCCCAAGGGACAACACAGGAAGTTCCAGCTCAAGATGAGGAGCAACTTCTTTGCTGTGAGGGTGACAGAGCCCTGGGCCAGGCTGCCCAGAGAGGCTGTGGAGTCTCCTTCTCTGGAGACTTTCCAGCCCCATCTGGACACGTTCCTGTGTGACCTGCCCTGGGTGTTCCTGCTGCAGCAGGGGGGTTGGACTCGATCTCCAGAGGTCCCTTCCAACTCCTGTGATTCTGAGTCTATGAAATGGACCAATGGCACACAAGAAAATCACCTTGCATATTTCTTCTCTTCTATGTGGTTGAGTTCCGAGATTGCTTCATCTAATAACTTCTTCTCCTCAGCAAGTTCTTCCTGCTCCTTCACATTTCTCTGCACTGCAAACAAACACACAACAACAAACAACACCTGCAGGAGGTAACAGCACTGCTGAGCATGAAGGGACAGTGAGACCACAGTCAAGCCAAGCAGCCTGAAGAAAAAGGCTGAGTTTTGCTGCTTCTGGAGAGGCAACAACAGCAACAAAAAAAAGGCAGGTGTATTCTCAGCTTTTCTCCTTTTTTCCTGCACTCAGAAAAGATTTTACATTCAGAACTTAATAACAGAGCTGCTAACACTCACCTTTCTGCTCTATCTGCCATTGCCATGTGTCCATGACATCCTTCAGTAGCTGCTTTCTAGCCTCCTTTTCTGCTCTCATTTTCTCTGCCTTCTTAGCCCAAACCTTCTCAATCTCTTCCTTGTGGGCTCTCTCTGCTTCTTGTTCTCGCTGTCTCTCCTCCTCCAGCTGTTGAGCCAGGTGTGCCAGGTATGTCTGCTGCTCCCTTAACAGCTCTTGCTGCAAACACACCAACATGTGCAGATCTGAGTAAATGAGTTCCAAAAAAAGTGGTGTTTTCTGGACCTGGTGGTAACTGAAAAGTCAGCACCCCATCCCAAACCCTGCTATAGGAAAGCTGTGGAGAACCTTCTTCCTGTTCTTCTCACCTCTGAGCAGAGCTGGTGGCTTCCTTGCAAGTAGAGGGAGGGTGTTGGAGGTGTGTGTGTGCTCCCTCACATGGTCACTGCTCCAGAAATGACAGTCACAGCTTCGAATGTCACGTACATTTCACACTGACAACACCATCCTGAAATGGGAAATGCTTCACGGAAGGATCTGAGAGCACAGGTAGCCAGGGCTACAAGAGCTGAGCCAACCTTATTCCTCCAAATCAGGGGCAGTATCTGCCCAATTCCAAGTCAGTTCAACTCCTTGTGTGGGTTTGCAGGGAAAGGTTTGTGCTTTCCCTGGATGTCTCTTGCACGTGACACCACCTGTGCAGGGGTCCTGCAAAAATATGGAGCATCGATTCTGGCAGCTCCCAATGTCACCAGAAATGAGTGGACTGCTGCCAACCACAAGCCCAGGTCCTGAATTTTTGCATGCAGAGTTGTCCCAAGAGACCTCCAAGCTGGACTTCCCACCTCCTGGGCCCTGCAGAAGTCACCCCGTGCTATGTCTGGGCATGATCCTGGGGTCTGGTGTCACCCTAATCCTGGGGCACAATTGGATTGGCCACTTCTGCAGCCGGTGTTCCTGTGCCTGTGTTAAAGTAATGAATAATTCATCAAGGTGGTAAAGAAATGCATAATTAACAAACAAGAATTTTTCCTGCAAACAAGACTGATTCTGGCCAAGGCTGGATGTTGCAGTGAGTCTCCAGCCCTGAATGTGCTCCTGACAGCCTTGAGGAGCAGGGGAACAAGCCAGCACCCTGCCAGAGGGCACCAGCAACCACTCCCCAGCTCTATGCCCAAAAGCAGCATGATGGAAGGTCCTGGGGTGAGTTTAAAAGCCCTTGTGAGCAAGCAGGTGGGTGCAGAAAAGGCTTCAAGCCTTGCTGGGGGTTCAAACCTTGGAGCAGGTCTGGGAAGGTGGGGTGGACAAGGTCACCAACACACTCCACACCTCTGTTCTTCTTCCATCAACATGAAAGTGTCAAGGAAAAACTCACAGGAAAGCGTATTTGGCAAAACTTTAGTACCTGAATAAAGGAAGAGGCTGTGACTGCCTGGTTTTTAAATGGCAGAGGTTTTGGGTCATTCACAGCCCTGGTGCAGGGACAGGTCACCCAGCCACAGACCAGCAGTGTCCCTGTGCTCTCGATTTAATGGGTGGTTTGGCTCCAGGATCCCTCAAACATGCAGGGAAATAACCATGATTAGGGAAACTCCTCAGTCTTGACACAAAAAATAATTCTTAGGGGTATGGAGAAGATGCTTTTATAGTCCTCTGACCCACCCAGCTGCTCAGTGTGAGCCTTATCCATTCTTCTAGACCCACCTGGAGCCTCCCAAATACCAAGCAGCAAAGGGGTGAACTTCAGCAATGTGTTCATCAACCACAAGTTTTCCCTCAGAAGGGTTTGGTAACCCATGGGAATCCATTTCTGCTGACAACAAACCTTTTATTTTTCTGCAGACTTCACGTGCACTGCAGAGGAATTTTGCCTCCAGGAGCAAGAGCTCAGATACTTGATAAATGCTTGAGAGCTCTGACCACCTCTCCTGAGTTATAATTTTATTTTAAAAAGATTTATTCTAGTTCTGGACAACTCAAATTCACTGAGCTCACCAATGCAGTACTTTGTGTCTCTCCTATTGGGTGTACCCAATGACAGTGTCACAGCCTTTAATAACAGGATTTAATTAATCCTGGAATTGAGAATGTGCTATTATGTTCATTTTTCAAAGAAAAGCCACAGCAGTAAAGAAAAATCTACATTGCAGAGTCACCCCAGAAGTCTGTGCTAGACCAGGAAATTAATCTGTTAATCATTCTGCCAAGGTGAGAGACCTACCTGAGCTTCTTGGACTGATGAGACTGTTCCCATTATCTGGGATGGTCTTCCACCTGCAAAACAGAAGGAGCAGCTTTGCAATCTGCTGAAAGGCTTTGGAGATGGCTGCTGAAAAGCTCTGTGGAAGGGACTAAGAACCCACCTTCCCTGTTTGCCATGTTTTCATGTCTAGGATCCTTCCTTTTCTTGAGGTCTCTCATTGATCAGCTTTTCCATGTTCATGCTTCCACCCAATAAAACCACTAAAGTCCTGGTCTTGGTCAAGAGGGAGTCACTGAAAAGTGGAGGTAGGGAGGAAGGAGAAGGTAGAGGAAATGGTTATGGAAGTTGGAGAAGAAAGGGGTGGAAAAGCTGGAGGAAAGGTGGTAGAAACTGAAAAGCTGAAGGAGAAAAACATCTGCATTCCAAAGAGACAACAGCTGCCACCAAAATCATAACCAACTTCTCTTTTTTTGCAATCTAATGATAAATTAAGTCCTGCACAATTAATTCTGTCCAAGTAAAGGTCTCACAATCTACCTTTGGGACCCCAGTATCCCATCACTTGCTATTTAACAAGGAAAACAAAAATACATCACCAAGTCCTTTTTGTCTAAACACATCAAAAGATTTTGAAAATCTTTGCAGTTTGAAAGGCACTTTAATAAAAGTTGGCTGAAGTTCTACAAAATTTCCTGGTGTAGCTGTTAAAGAAAGCCTCATTCATATCATGATAAAACATGCAGAGAACAGAATATTCTTGGACTAAAACGTCAAATCCTTGTGTTTGGAGCTGTCATTTTGTCAAAAAATGAAAGAATTGGGGAAAAATAACATTTAAAATCCTATGTTGTCTGTATTTTCCAATTTAAATACTTGGAGTGGAGCGGGGCCAGTTACAAACAGAGCCAGCTACAAACACAGTGACAAACTGGTTTTCAGGGTGACTTCAGTGTAAATTCTGTTGTAGGGAGTTAGACAGGACTTGTCTTCTGAAAGGGTGGATGGCTGCTGGTTTCCTCCAAGGATTTGATAACATGTTCTGTATCCTCTCCTGGTAGGCTCTCTCTTCTTCACGAGCTGATTCATACTCTCGTTGCTTCTCCTCTTCCTCAGCATCACGTGCCTGTTCTCGATGGGCAATCTGAGCCCTGAGGTGCTCCTGGTATTCTTTGGCTTCCTTTAGTTTCCTGGGAATGAGGAAAAAAAAAAAACCAAACAGCCTATTTATGAAGCATGGGTTTAAAAACCCCACAAAACCAAAACCATTTTTTTTAGTCCTTATTGAATCTGTGAGCGTTCAACCTTCAAGAACCACTCAAAACTCCTCTCAGGGCTTCAGAACAACCATCACCTCCCACTGACCAAGAGCTGCATGATGTTCCTCAGGGAATTAATTGCACTCTGTTGAAACTTGCACAGCAGATTGTACAAATACTGACAGTGTGAGGACAAGGAATGAGTGTCAGGTCTTGGTCCTTTCCCAGCTCAGCCTGAGCCCCATCTCCACTCCCTCACTCTGAAGATCATAAGCTGCTGGCAGCTGCAGCTCTGGATTGATATCCCAGGAAAAGGCTGTCAGGAGAAATCATTCTTCTCTTCCATCTTGAGACTCATCTATCACACTTACTGCCCCGTGGAGAAGCAGTGAAGACTACCTGTGTGTTCTGGCCATCTGGAGCAGGAGTCAGACTCACACAGATGCTGAAGATGCCACCAGGCTAGTCAAGACTTGTGTGTTAATACAGCCCAGCTGAACCATCAACACTGACACTGCTGAATGCATCTCTGCTAAGCAGAGCACACCCCAAATCCCAGACTGGTTTGGGTTAGAAGGGACCTTAGGGCCAGCGACACCCCCCCCCAGCCCAGTTTGCTCCAAGCCCCATCCAACCTGCCCTTCAACACTGCCAGGGATGGGGCAGCCACAGCTTCCCTGGGCAACCTGGGCCAGGGTCTCACCACCCTCACACCAAAGAATTTTCTCCTCTTGTCTCACCTCAATCTCCCCTCTTCCAGTTTTAATCCATCCCCCTCATCCCATCCCTCCCTGCCCTTGTCCCAAGTCCCTCCCCAGCTTTGCTGGAGACCCTTCAGGCACTGGAAGCTGCTCTAAGGTCTCCCTGGAGCCTTCTCTTCTCCAGGCTGAACACCCCAACTCCCCCAGCCTGGCTCCAGAGCAGAGCTGCTCCAGCCCTCCCAGCATCTCCGGGGCCTCCTCTGGACTCTCTCCAGCAGCTCCATGTCCTTCCTGTGCTGGGGACCCCAGCCCTGGCCCCAGCCCTGCAGGGGGGTCTCAGCAGAGCAGAGCAGAGGGGACAATCCCCTCCCTGGCCCTGCTGGCCACGCTGCTGGGGATGCAGCCCAGGACACGGGTGGGTTCTGGGCTCCAGGGCTCATGGGGAGCTTCTCAGCACCCAGCATCCCCAGGGCCTGCTCCTCAGGGCTGCTCCCAGCCCATTCTCCACCCAGCCTGTACTTGTGCTGGGTGTACTTGAGATTGGGCAAGGAAAGGTAGGGTATGAAACTCAGCATGTTTCCTTCAGAAGGGTGAGATCCCTGCCACAGCCAGGAGATTGTCACCACTAAAGCCCTTAGAGAACACAAGAAGTACTAGGCCTGTTACCTCCAGGGACAGGTGTGGGAAAGGGCAGGGGCTCCAGAGAGAAACGGACTCAGCAACATCAGGCTCTTTGCCCTGGGCTTTGTATGACACCCAGAGGAACTTCTCAGCTACTGCGTGTGACTCATCTTGAGCAGCTGGGGTGGCAGCACTGTCTGGAATTTTGGTGACTGACAATAGGATTGTTTCAGGGCTGTGTGTGGGTGGAGTTTAGCAAGAACACTAGTTGCCCTGTGTAAGTAAAAGAATAACCTTTCATTAACCCTTCTCCCACTCCTAATAACAGCTATGACTATGAGGGGATGTCTTTAATAAACATGATCCATGTAAGTCACATGATGGTCCAAAAAGACCAAAACAAGGATATGGAACTAAACACCATTATTTGTACCACGGGATCAGAGTTAGGGATTTAACACCAGTTGCAACCTAACAGGGCTGCTGTTGAGCAGTTTCAAGCCTCTCTGAACAGAAGAAGGGCCACCCAGAGCTCTCAAGAGTCATCTGAAAATTAGGATTAGGCTGTTCACAAGTTTAAATTATTGTTCTGCAATGAAACAATTGCAGACTGGGGAGCTGAGCAAAGAGGAACCTCATGAGGTTCAACAATAGTAAGTGTAGAGTCCTGCACTTGGAAAGAAGAACCACCAGGCACCAGTATAGATTTGGGGTTGGCCTGCTAGAAAGCAGCCCCATGGAGAGAAGGACCCTGGGGTCCCGCTGGACAACAGGTTACCCATGGTATAGCAATGTGCCCTTGTGGCCAAGAGAGCCAGTAGTATCCTGGGGTGCTCTAAGAACAGTGTGGCCAGCAGGTCAAGGTTCTCCTCCCCCTCTGCTCTGCCCTGGTGAGGCCACATCTGGAGGACTGTGTCCAGTTCTGGGCTCCCCAGTTCCAGAGGGACAGGGATTTGCTGGGAAGAGTCCAAGGGAGGCTACAAAGATGATGAAGGGACTGGAACATCTGTCTGATGAGGAAAGGCTGAGAGACCTGGGGCTGTTTAGTGAGGAGAAGAGAAGGCTGAGAGGGGACCTGATGAACGTCTCTCAATACCTGCAGGGTGGGTGTCAGGAATGGGCCAGTCTCTGTTCAGTGGTGCCTGGGACAGGACGAGGGGAAACGGCCCCAAGGGACAACACAGGAAGTTCCAGCTCAAGATGAGGAGCAACTTCTTTGCTGTGAGGGTGACAGAGCCCTGGGCCAGGCTGCCCAGAGAGGCTGTGGAGTCTCCTTCTCTGGAGACTTTTCAGCCCCCTCTGGACACGTTCCTGTGTGACCTGCCCTGGGTGTTCCTGCTGCAGCAGGGGGGTTGGACTCGATCTCCAGAGGTCCCTTCCAACTCCTGTGATTCTGAGTCTATGAAATGGACCAATGGCACACAAGAAAATCACCTTGCATATTTCTTCTCTTCTATGTGGTTGAGTTCCGAGATTGCTTCATCTAATAACTTCTTCTCCTCAGCAAGTTCTTCCTGCTCCTTCACATTTCTCTGCACTGCAAACAAACACACAACAACAAACAACACCTGCAGGAGGTAACAGCACTGCTGAGCATGAAGGGACAGTGAGACCACAGTCAAGCCAAGCAGCCTGAAGAAAAAGGCTGAGTTTTGCTGCTTCTGGAGAGGCAACAACAGCAACAAAAAAAAGGCAGGTGTATTCTCAGCTTTTCTCCTTTTTTCCTGCACTCAGAAAAGATTTTACATTCAGAACTTAATAACAGAGCTGCTAACACTCACCTTTCTGCTCTATCTGCCATTGCCATGTGTCCATGACATCCTTCAGTAGCTGCTTTCTAGCCTCCTTTTCTGCTCTCATTTTCTCTGCCTTCTTAGCCCAAACCTTCTCAATCTCTTCCTTGTGGGCTCTCTCTGCTTCTTGTTCTCGCTGTCTCTCCTCCTCCAGCTGTTGAGCCAGGTGTGCCAGGTATGTCTGCTGCTCCCTTAACAGCTCTTGCTGCAAACACACCAACATGTGCAGATCTGAGTAAATGAGTTCCAAAAAAAGTGGTGTTTTCTGGACCTGGTGGTAACTGAAAAGTCAGCACCCCATCCCAAACCCTGCTATAGGAAAGCTGTGGAGAACCTTCTTCCTGGCCAGTTGACAGTGCCTGGCAGTGTCAGAGCAGAAGTAGTAGAGTGATCCCTTCCCCAGAAGCAGCTCAGCTGCCTAAAACACAGGCATTTTACACAGATTTTCCACTGCTGACCAAGCTTCTTCCCCCCTCACCTGCATTAGAAACCTTGGGATCTAGAAATATAATAAACAAATGCAATAAAAATAATAATAAAGAAAAATTACAACCATTTGATTTTGTGCCAAGGTCTCATATCAAGTTGATACAACTTTTATAACCTACATGAGCTTCTAAAATACCTCAAGCAGATTAATGACTGCAGCTCCCTTTTTAAAGTCACCTAGAGACTCATTTTCACCCTGAACTTGGGCAATCTACTGGTTTTCAACTCAGGAAGTGACAGACACATCCACAGTTTTGTGGCATCTCCAAGATACTTTTGCACAGCATGATTTGAAGTACTCCCAGTGGTTCTGAAAGATCATGAGCTTCTTCAGAGAAGGAGAAGCAACAGGCTACACCAAAAAAGGAATCAACTTGTTCAGAGCAAAGGGTTTGATCTGATCTCATTTACCCTGTGCAGTTCAGGAAGGGCCAGAAAATTAATCCAAATCCCACAACTCCCTAGTGAACACCTTACTTTTCTTTTTGTTTTCTCCTCAGTGTCTTTCTGGGGGTCCTGAAGACATTTTTCCAAGATCTTCAACTCGAGGGCAAGTTCATCTTGTTTTTCCTCATCAAGACGTTTCTGCTTCTCCTGGGCTGCACTGAGCAACATATCCCTGCATTCCTTCTGCTTCTGGAGTTCCTCTTTCTGAAGTTGCTCCTTTCCCTGCTGAAGCAGCTGCTGCTCCTCTTCCTACAACAGCAAAAATAACCAGCTTGTAAAATCATTGCTGAACTTAAACCTAAGTGATGACTAGAATGAGAGAAATTAGAAGACTGAAGAGCAAAGATAAAGATTTCAAGCCTTTCTTGCTGCCATTAGAGAATTATTCTCAGACCTTAAACCTTCTAAAGCATGAACATTTCAGCATGATCAGTATCAGAATTCAGGATTTTCCTCTTTAATTATCCCCTGCACTTCAACACCAAACCAAAGGGCTGCCTGATGCACTCCAAATGTTTCAAGCAGAGAGACAGAGTCATTTCTTTAGGACAAATCAATATCATGGCAGCACATGTGATCTATTTCCAAGTTGGCTCATGCAGAGCCATGAGTTCCTCCTGGTTCTGCATGTTTTAAATGTCCTGGGTGGTCAGATCTGGCACAGCATCTCCAGTGGATGGGAGGCTGCAAAAAATAGCTGTATCCTTATATTCTGGTGGGCAGAATTTCAAATTTCACATTCCACTTGGTATTGGAAAGAACAGAAAAATGGACAGTGAAACTGAATTCTTAAGAAAGGAACAATGAAAAATATTCAAGATCCAAAGTATAGTCAGTATTAGTTGGTGTAAAAAAATAAACCCTGAAATAGCAAGGAACCTGTGGCTGCCCCATCCCTGGCAGTGTTGAAGGGCAGGTTGGATGGGGCTTGGAGCAACCTGGGCTGGTGGGAGGTGTCCCTGCCCATGCAGGGGGGTTAGATATAAATGGTCTTTAATGTCCCTTCCAGCCCAAACCATTCCATGATTCTGTGATTCACCTGTTAACCCACAGGAAAAGTGGAAATCAGAAAAAAGCTTAAAAACCTTCCCATTGCCCCACAAAGGCTCTGAGAGGCTTCAAATGCCAGAATCCTTCCCATGCTCCATTTGAGAAGATCTGGTTCCTTCTGTAAGCAGGAACACATGTTCCACAGCTGGAGAAAAGAGGCTCAGCCTAACAGGCCAGGCTCAGACACTAATGGAGTCAGCGAAGATACAAATCAGGTATGGATTAATGTAAATGGCTGCTAAGCCTATCATTAGGAGGGGCCTTCTACAGAACCCTGGCTTGAGAAGGATATGGAAATTACCAACAACTGAGCTTCTTCCTCCTTCAACCTCCTGGCCTCCTCCTGCTGAGCGTTGAGCTCTGCTACCTGGGCACTGAGCCCATCACGGACTTCCCGCTGCTGCTTGGCCAATCTCTGCATCTCCTTCACTTCTCTCTTTTCCTTAGCCAACCTGTCCTCTTTCCAAAGCTCAGCAAACATCTGCTCCTCCTTCTGCTGCTGCTTTTTCAGCTCCTCCTTCAGAGCTACCTGGGCCAACCGGTCTTCACACACTTCCTTCTGATGCTTCTTCATCAACAGCAAGCGAAGCTCATCACATTGTTGTCTGAAAGGCAAGAGGGCAGGTTAAAAAATAAACAAACAGGCTGAAATCATAAGCAAGTCTGGAGTTGTTTGAAGGATGGAGGCTCCCAGATCATCACTACTTGGAGGACAAGGGCTCAGGAAGCCAAATTCTTCACTGACTCCTTTGGAGGCCTAAGGAAGCCCAGAGAGGCTGAATTGATGGAGATTTTGACATCGCTGAGTAGAAGAGCAGGTCCTGCATTTCCATTTGTAAATTAATCTAAATATACAAGGGGGAATGGATTAAAAGTGGAAGAGGGGAGATTGAGACATTAGGAGGAAATTCTTTGCTGTGAGGGAGGTGAGACCCTGGCCCAGGCTGCCCAGAGAAGCTGTGGCTGCCCCATCCCTGGCAGTGTTGAAGGGCAGGTTGGATGGGGCTTGGAGCAGCCTGGGCTGGTGGGAGGTGTCCCTGCCCATGCACGGGGTTGGATCTAGTTGATCTTTAGGGTCACTTCCAACCCAAACCTATCTGGGATTCTGATACATGCACAATATCTACATATGTTATATACACAATAAAGTTGGAAGGTACATGATGTGGGGCTTGTGTGTGTGTGTGTGTGTATATATTCACTTTTTTAACTCCTAAAAGACACACTCTAAGCTTGCTTAAACATGTAGGTTGCTCTTTATTCATATGAAGACTGAGAATCACTTTCTCAGTCACTTGAAAGCTCAATCATAATCAGAAAACCCCCTGAGAGCAGAAATTCGGGTCACACATTTGAACAGGAAACCACTGGACCTGTATTCACTTTGTTTTCTGAGGACGTTTGGTGGGAAAACTCAAGAAAGCTGCAAGAAAAGTCTGGAGAAGCTAGAAAGTGAAAGGAGTCAGGAATACAGCTCTCAATTTTCATTCACTCCTTCCAACTCAGCTGCTTCTATGTAGATATTAAATATTAAAAGGTATTTCTCTTCAGCCTGAAGAACACGTGACCATTCAGAGATCCTGCTTTTCTTTTTACAAACCAAGCACTGCTGAGATCAACACATGGTATCAAACACTCTTTAAGTGGAACAATATAAAAGCATTTTCATTCTATTCCACAATCAGGATCTAGATTTGCATCAAATCCCCAGGTGGAACTAACATCAACAACCCACGAGCTCTAAGGATGAGTGACAGGAAGGCTGTGAAGGAACAAGTGATCTCATAGGTTCATGCTGAATGAAACCACCTTCTGCAGATGATTGCAATGCTCTTCAGGAATTCAGAGCAGATGGGATAAGGTATCACTGGCTGGATCTGGAAGCACTGCCTGACAGCAGCAGGGAGCTGTACAATGGGAAAGATTATTACTCCATGCAATGTTTAGCTGACAACGTGGAGCAAAAACTATCAGTGTCTGCATCAGGAGAGTTATTTAATTTTCATACCTGCAGCTGTGAAACACAATCTGAATTCATTCCATGGCCTAAGATTTTATTATTATTATTTTTTTGGACTTAAAAGTAAAAATAAGTTTGCCAGCACAAAACTGGTGGCTCTTTGCTTTTTCATGTGCTGTGGATTTGCTAAGGATCTGTCTTTGCAGAGTCTTCACTTGTCTATATGATTCCTAAGAAAATGCCTTTCAGATCACTCAGTCCAACCATTCCCCCAGCCCTGCCCAGGCCACCCCTGCCCCATGTCCCTCAGCACCACATCTACACGGCTTGGAAACCCCTCCAGGGATGGGGACTCCAGCCCTGCCCTGGGCAGCCTGGGCCAGGGCCTGACAACCCTGGCCAGCAAGAAATGCTGCCCAACATCCCAGCTCAGCCTCCCCTGGCACCACTGCAGCCCATCTCCTCTTGTCCCATCCCTTGTTCCTGGGGAGCAGAGCCCGACCCCCCTGGCTCCAACCTCCTCTCAGGCAGCTGCAGAGCCAGAAGGTCTCCCCTCAGCCTCCTTTGCTCCAGCCTGGACACCCCCAGCTCCCTCAGCTGCTCCTCCTCCCCCTTGTGCTCCAGACCCTGCCCCAGCTCCCTTGCCCTTCTCTGGACACGCTCCAGCCCCTCCATGTCCTTCTTGTCCTGAGGGGCCCAGACCTGACCCCAGGATTCCAGGTGCCCCCTCCCCAGGGCCCAGCACAGGGGGACCAGCCCTGCCCTGCTCCTGCTGGACACACCAGTGCTGACACAAGCCAGGATGCTGGTGCCTTCTGGGCCACCTGGGCACACACTGGCTTCATGTTCAGCTGCTCTCAACCAACACCCCAGGTCCTTTTTCACCTGGCAACTTTCATACTGTATTGTATGAGGCAGGAACAGTCTGCCCACTCATCCACTGGTTGTCCCAACACCAAAACCAGTGACAGGCACACCAGGAGCTCCAGCACACTCCAGGAGGTGTGTCTGCCTTCAAGCAGCTCCAACACACTCCACCATTGCTGGTTTCCTTACATGTAAACACTGGGATCTACCTTCCAACTCCTGGGCAGGAGTTAGTGATGATGACAAACTAATTAATATTAATGAAAACATCTTTCCAAGTGTTCTGAGGGAAACACACCAGTATTAACATTTGAAATCTTACACTATGAGAACTGTACTACCTTCAAACAATAGGTTCAAAGCTGTCTCAGCAGCAGAAGAATAAAGAATTAGCTCTTCATGACCATAAACTCATCTAAATTTAATTGCATTCTCAGAGGGGAAGAGAAGTTAACTAAAAGTTTAGCATGGTTAGAATTTTAATAGAAAATCACCCTGTAATTGCTTGATTTCATCAAAATAATTCCTTCAAAGCAGCTTTTACAGCAACCTGTAAACATCTGCTCCCCCAGATGGTTGGTTTCCTTCCTCACTTTGCTATCCTAAGCTTCTTACCATTAAAATTGGGTCTGGATGGAGCCACTTGCCAAAGAAAGAAACTGCATTTATTCCCTCCCCCTGCCAGTTATTTATTCACTTGATGTCTGCAGAACAAAGTGACTGTGATAACAACATTCTCTGCTTCTCATTTTATTCCAAGAAAGAGGATGGAATGTGTGCAAATTTTAAGGCATTTCCATTTTCTTTACAGATACCAACATGCTGAACATGCCCTGGAGGTAAAACAGGCTGAATATAGAAGCACAGAATCCCAGACTGGTTTGTGTGGGAAGGGACCTTAAAGATCATCCAGTTCCAATCTGCCATGGGCAGGGACACCTCCCACCAGCCCAGGCTGCTCCAAGCCCCATCCAACCTGCCCTTCAACACTGCCAGGGATGGGGCAGCCACAGCTTCTCTGGGCAACCTGGGCCAGGGTCTCATCACCCTCACACCAAAGAATTTCCTCCTCATGTCCAACCTCAATCTCCCCTCTCCCAGTTTTAATCCATCCTCCCTTATCCTCTCAGTCCCTGCCCTTGTCCAAAGTCCCTCCCCAGTTTTCCTGTTGTAGCTCTTCATGAAAATCAGCTCCAACAGGACTCAGGTGGTCCAAGGACTGTGCCCTCCCTCACCTTGTGACAAAAAACTCTTCCTGGCTAACATCAGGACAGAGAAGCTGTTAAATCTATATCCTCAAGCTCCAGCTCCAAACCCAGCCCAGATAGCTGATAAAAGAGCTGCTTTTCATCTGGAATAACATCCTGCACTGAAGGTGCTTCTATAGCTGAGGTTTGAGAACCTCCCTCTGCCAAAAAGTGGAGCTCCTTGCCTCAAGTTAAAAGAGTAGCAGCTAAAAGTGGAGGAAAAACATTTGAGGCTACTTAAAGACAATAAATACCTCCAGATTCAGGTATCAGAAGTTACTAATCTAATCAGAACTGATCACCCTAGTACAGATTTCCTTGCTTTTCGGAGAAGGACCATGAAGAAAAAGCTTTCAAGTATTCCTAAGCAAGTACATGAAGGTATCAGGCTTTTGAAGGAGACATCAAGAGACAGTTGAACTGCTCTTAGGTGGTGTTATTAAAGTTGTTTGGTTTTTTTTTTACAAGGCCCTTAATTTAATAGCAGAGAGAGAAAGAACTAGAGGAATGAAGTGAGGAACTAACTGTGGAAATATATTCCCATTCCACCAGGACAATCAAAGGGAAGGATTCTGGACACTGCAGGATGAAGATGAATTTGCAAAGATATTCAAAGATTGCCACCTGAAATTGCTGTGAAGAAAGATGGTTTTGCTGCCTGTAAATCCTCTGAAATACTGCAGCCAGCAGGACATCACCCAGTGACATTCCAGGAACACTTTTTCATGGGATACTGTGGCAGGAAGATTGCCTGGATCCAAGAGCAGACTGGGAAAGGTAGGATAATGGGAATCATCCCATGAAAGGGAGTGAAACAAGTCTCAGTAGCATTGTACTGGGAAGAAGCAGGACCTGAGATATGAAGACAGGCAAGAGCAGCATGAAATTCCAAGTATGTATCCCCAGATGATGAGATTCCCAGGTGGGATTCATACTGCAATGAAAATATCTGAAATTAGGCAGCTAAAATTTAAACATGAGAGCTCAAGTCTCATTTTAATCCATGGGAACCTAATCAATGCCACCAGTGGAGGACAGGGTGTGGTGCAGGTGGCAGACCCACCACAGGAGGACATTGGGTTCCTTTAACCCTCCTGATCTCAATGAAGATCTACCAAGCAGACCAGAATTCCACAATTCCAGAGAAGATAAAGATACCAACCCTCAGACACCTGCCTTGAGGTCCCTAAATCACAAGCTGAATCCCTTCCCCATGGTATCTAAGACAAGCTACAGGCACTAATTAACAGACACTCCAGCAGCCTGTCCTCTAAAAAACTGGAAAAGTGAATTTCAACCCCTTTGTGTGTAGGGTAGGGAACAAACTAGGATTTGGGAATGGTGAGGGCTGCATTTTAAAGCCAGCATGGGAATTTAGAAATGCATCCACTGTCTGAAGACATCAGTCAATAAAACCCACATGAAAAATAATCAACAGTTCTCTGTGAAATGAATTAAACTGTAGGCACAAGTGAAAACAAGTGTTGGGTTTTATCCCCAGCCTGTGCACACTGAGAAGCAGGTGGGATGGATTTCCATAGCACTACAGGAGACTGGGAAAAGCCTCTTCCAAATTATTACAATTACATTCATGTTCTTTTCACCCCTTCCTCAGAAAACCAGAATTTCCAAGCATTGAACAAATCAGATTTCATGCCAAGGCCTCAGGGGCTGATAAGCCCATGCAGATCTTCATGACTTCAAAAGACAATTGCCAAGCTCAGCATGCAGGAAGAACTTGAAGTAAAATTCTGTGAACCCTAAACTGTGTCCAGTTCTGGAGCCCTCAACACAAGAAGGACTTGGAGCTGTTGGAACAAGACTAGAGGAGGCCACGGAGATGCTGGGAGGGCTGGAGCAGCTCTGCTCTGGAGCCAGGCTGGGAGAGTTGGGGTGTTCAGCCTGGAGAAGAGAAGGCTCCAGGGAGACCTTAGAGCAGCTTCCAGTGCCTGAAGGGGCTCCAGGAAAGCTGGGGAGGGGCTTGGGACAAGGGCAGGGAGTGAGAGGACAAGGGGGAATGGGTTAAAACTTGAAAATGGGAGATTTATATTAGATATTTGGAAGAAATTCTTTGGTGTGAGGGTGGTGAGACCCTGGCCCAGGTTGCCCAGGGAAGCTGTGGCTGCCCCATCCCTGGCAGTGTTGAAGGGCAGGTTGGATGGGGCTTGGAGCAGCCTGGGCTGCTGGGAGGTGTCCCTGCCCATGCAGGGGGTTGGATCTAGATTATCTTGCAGGTTCCTTCCAACCCAAACCAGTCTGTGATTATGATCACCTTGTTGTTAAATTGCCTCTTTGTATTTACTTAACCCCGATTTTCTAAGATACCTGAATTGCTGCTCTCGTTTTTCATCCGCCAGTTGAAAGAAAAGAACTAGTGTTCTTCTTGTAGAGACAGTTTCCCTCATTTTCTGTTGTCTCCCCTGGACTGTTTCTTCAAGTGAATCAATCTCAACAAGGTACTGACTTTCCTCTCCCTCCAGAAGCTCACGAAGCCTGGAATGAGAACATGGAATTAAAAGCCAAATCAATCCCTCTATTGAATGATGAAGTTGTGTTTCATTTGCTAGGAGTGCAAAACAGGTTCCTTTCAACACCTCCTGCAAACACCAAAGGGAACACCCAAGGGAAGCCCAGATTGGAACACAAGGATCCCTCCAGTTGTGCCCATGGAGAGGATCTTACAGCAGAACAGGAGTGATTCTGTCCTGGCACAAGTGAAGCTGCTTCTCTTCCAAACCCATTGCCAGTGCTGTTTTAATCCCCCAGTAAACAAATTCTTCTACTTCCCAGACTCCATTTGTCACCAGTTGGCATCAATTTGAGCTTGTACTGTTGCTCATCTTCAGCATAAACCCTCCCTGGGCTTTCCCACCCTTCTCTAAGTCTAGTTTCTAATTACCTTTTGTTATTTTAGCATCACCCCATTTAACCACTTCATCCTGAAAGAGCTTAGATGAGAAAATTCTATCAAATTAGCCATTTTTAAACACACCACCATTCACCTCTCTAGTAATCCTAGCAGTAAGAAACCTGGGCTTAAAGAATCCATAAACTCCTTAATTCCAGGGCTGTGACCTCTGGGAAATCACTCTCACTTTTCTACAATGATATGTGAGCAGTAATTAACAGCAGCAGAGCCAAAGATTAATTCTGGACACTGAATTGCAGGCTCTTCATGCACTGAGCAGAGGCTCCTTGCGAAGGGATTTTCAGCAGCTCAATAAGAACAAACCTCATGGAGTTGAACCTAAAAATCCTGCCCCTGGGGAGGAGAAACCCCATGGACATACTGGAGGTTGACTGGCTGGGAAGTGGCTCTGCAGAAAGGGACCTGGGGGTGCTGGCAGGGAAGTTGGAGATGAGGCAGAAATGCACCCCTGTGGCAAAGAAAGGCCAAGGGTATGAGGGAGAGCAGGGCCAGGGAGATGATGCTTCTTCTCAGCACTGCTGAGACCTCACCCAAGGTGCTGGGTCCAGTTCTGGGCTCCCCAGCACAAGAAAGATAAATTCTTAGGGGTATGAGCCCAGTGAAGGTCCAGCAAGAGGACTGAGGGACTGGAGCAGCTCTCCTAAAAGAAGAACCCCTCCTGGAGAGGTGAGAGAGTTGGGGTGTTCAGCCTGGAGAAGAGAAGGCTCCAGGGAGACCTTAGAGCAGCTTCCAGTGCCTGAAGGGGCTCCAGGAAAGCTGGGGAGGGGCTTGGGACAAGGGCAGGGAGGGATGGGATGAGGGGGAATGGATGAAAACTGGAAGAGGGGAGATTGAGGTGAGACATGAGGAGGAAATTCTTTGGTGTGAGGGTGGTGAGAGCCTGGCCCAGGTTGCCCAGGGAAGCTGTGGCTGCCCCATCCCTGGCAGTGTTGAAGGGCAGGTTGGATGGGGCTTGGAGCAGCCTGGGCTGGTGGGAGGTGTCCCTGCCCATGCAGGGGGTTGGAACTAGATGATCTTTAAGGTCCCTTCCAACCCAAAGCACTCCATGATCCAATGATCCATTTTTTCCCCCCAACCATTCCTCCAAGCACACACTAAAGTGAAAACAGGGCAGATATTGGCATTAATTACCTACTTGTTCCCTACCTCTCTCTTCTTTCATGAAGCCCTGCCAGATATTCCTGCATTTTGGCATCCACCTTTCTCTGCACATCCCCATGGAGCCATTTGTGTTGGTTGCTTTTGTGCCACTTGTAGATGTTGCAATACTGGTGGAACTCCTTGGCAAAATCAGAATATTCCTGGACCTCCTTATCCTTCTGCCTCCGGACAAAGACAAAGTGTTCACTTGATTCACCCTTTGGAGGCTTGGCCCTCTGGAAGAGACAGGAGATGTCAGTGGTGAAAGCACCATCAGTTATTTTGGGGTTGGATTTAGTTGGATGTATCAGCAAAATAAGCACAAAACACCAAATTAGGAGAGTTCAGCGTAATTCCTTAGGGGGAATTTCCAACAAGCCTTGCCTGGAGGATCACACCACCAAGTACAGGAACATACATGGTTTGAGTGGGAAAGGACCTTTCAGTCTAGTCCAACCCCCTGCAGTGAGCACATCTGCAACTAGATCAGGTTGCTCAGAGCCCCAACCCGAGCTGGGATGTTTCCAGGGATGGGGCATCTCCCCTCTCCAGGCTGAACACCCCAACTCTCCCAGCCTGGCTCCAGAGCAGAGCTGCTCCAGCCCTCCCAGCATCTCCGGGGCCTCCTCTGGACTCTCTCCAGCAGCTCCATGTCCTTCCTGTGCTGGGGACCCCAGCCCTGGCCCCAGCCCTGCAGGGGGGTCTCAGGAGAGCAGAGCAGAGGGGACAATCCCCTCCCTGGCCCTGCTGGCCACGCTGCTGGGGATGCAGGACACGGGTGGGTTCTGGGCTGCCAGGACAAGTTGCCAGCTCATCCCCAACTTCCCACCCACCAGAAGCCCCAAGTCCTTCTCCTCAGAGCTGCTGTCAATGGTATGAGATGGCTCCAGGTAGCAGCACCTGTCAGGTACCCAGGAAACGAATTCCTTCTTAACCTACGCACCTAAGGGGGTGGTTCTTATCTCCTTCACACTTACCAACCTCTCTCCCGCTGCCTCCTCCTCCTCCCTCCCAGCCCCCCGGGGCTCCCGTGTCTCCCCACACCCCATCGCACCCCCTGCAGAGCCCAAGCGCCCCCAGATAAGCCAGGGGCACAGCTGGATCGGCTCCCCCGGGGCTAGGAGCGAGGCCTGCCAAGAGAGTCTCCCGGGAACCTCCCGGGGACCAAGGCCCAGCACCACCGGAGCGCGTCCCGCCCGCGGCC